ACGCTTCAGAACACAGTATGATATCAAGGATCCTCTGAAATTGCAACTGCTTTTCGTCATGACAGACTAGCTCCATTTCTTGAATCTTCGCTTCTATAACTAAGATGCTCAAGGAAAATTCTGCAAGGTGGAAAGAGGAATACAGAGATCTTAGGATTGGAGGAGCACAGGTTTTGAACCCTTTGGTTTATCTGTATACACTACACCACGGATGAATCAACAACCTGGAACTGCCAGTACGCACAGATGGACGAAAAAAGCCATAACAAAAGTTAAATGACTACGAAAAGGAATCTTTTAATCCCAGCTGTAGGCAACTGCCCAGGTTGATTGTACCAAGGCAAGGTTACACTGCTGGGAGAAAAGCAGCCAATAGCTGGCAGGTATCCCGGGCCTGGTTAATGCCAAAGTGGTGTTAACTATACCAGTGTGCCAGCATAGTTGTCTTTAAGATATGTAAGAGGGGCCTGGCAGCATGGCCTAGCAGATAAAGTCCTTGCCTTGATCGCGCCAGGATCCCATATGGGCACCAGTTCTAATCCCAGCAGCTCCACTTCCCATCCAGCTCCCTGCTTGTGGCCTGGAATAGCAGTCAAGGACGGCCCAAAGCTTTGGGACCCTGCACCCGCGTGGGAGACCCAGAAGAAGTTCCTGGCTCCTGGCTTTGTTATCAGCATAGCATCGGTCATTGCGCTCACTTGGGGAGTGAACCATCGGATGGAAGATCTTCCTCTCTGTCTCTCCTCTTCTCTGTATATCTGACTTTGTAATAAAAATAAATAAATCTTTAAAAAAAAAAAAAAGATATGTAGGGGACAGACATGGGCATACTGGTCCAGTCTGGACCCCTGGACTCAAAACTCCATCCATGGGGAAAATTATAGAATCTGTGGTCTGACTGTGGATGTGCATGAGGCAGAACTGGGTCTCCTCAGGAGCTGAGGCCTATGCAGCGGGCAGCATGTCCTGATACACATGGGCGACACAACAACTAATTCACTGAGGCCTACAGAGAATGTCTAGTATGATGGGGGCAGAACAAATTGGACAACTCTCCTGGAGAAGCTTTGAAAGCAAGTATCCGGGTGAGCGAAGACTCTAAAGTGGACTGTGTCAGCCAGTAGACCTTGGAAGAATTTCCTCAACCTTGGAGTAATAAAATAAATAGCAACTCAGAACTATGAAAACCATTCTTAACTATGTAAACATCATTAAAAAGAAATTTATTCCCCAATGCAGGCGATAGCTTAGGTTGCATTGCACCTAGGCAAGTGTTACAGTGCTGGGAGAAAAGCAGCTGGTGGGCATCCTGGGCCAGCTTAATGCCAAATCTGTATTAACCATACCAATGTGCCAGTAGAGTCAGCCTATTCTATTTTTTTTTTTCCTCTAAAGATGTGTGTGTGTTGGTTGGGGGGGTGGTATGCAGTCCATGAGCCCCAGGGCATGGAGTCCAGCGGGACCTGGGTTGCCTGGCCTAGATCCTTGGGCCTGCCAGCCTGGTGGGTGCCAGGTCCATGAGCCCCAGAGGTAGAGGTGCTGGTGGGGCCTGGGTCGGGCAGCCCGTGGTGCCCTCCTCAGTGGAAAAGATGGAGCAGTGGCTGACAGGCCAGGATGCACATGGAGGATATTGCAGCCCATTGGCGCCTGCAGAGAATATCTGGTACTAGAGCAAAGGAAGGAGAGTGGAACAAATTGGACAACTACCACAACCAAGCTTTGACAGCAAATATCTGGGTGAATGGAAACTATAACATCAGCTAATGTCAACCAGTGGACATTAAAAGAATTTCCTTATCCCTGGATCGGTGAAACTAACAGCATTGCAGAATTATCAAAGCCACTTAAGCACAACCCTTGGAACATGCTCCACATTGGGGACCCTGGGTTGATGTCAAGGTGGCTGTTCCCCATCTCCAGGTACTGGGGAGGTGGGGAGGCTGGGTGTGTCTTCTTCCCTTATCTACCCTCTCAGAGTCTCCATTCACCCCTTCTCCCTTGATCTCCCCCACTCAGAGCCTCCACATACTTGCTGTCAAAGCTTGGCTGGCTGAGTTGTCCCGTTTGTTTTGTCCTCCATCTTCTGCCATGATACTAAATGTCCTCTGTAGTCCGCAATGGGCTGCCGTGTCCCGACTGTGCACCCGGCCATGCATCATCTTAGCAACTGAGGAAGCCCAGCTCTGGTATATGCACTCCACGATTAGACCACAGATCCTGCGGTTCTCCCTGTGGTTGGAGTTCTGAGTTCTGCAGTTTACTTCTTTGCCGAGGTAAGGGGGTAGTTTCCAAAGAAACCTCATCTGAGGTGATCCCAGACCTAACTCTTGTGTGTGCTAACCAACGGAGTCTGGCTCAGTCCATCACCCATATCAGCATACACTGGTGGTTGCAGTCGCTGGGTCAGTTCTGTCTCTAGCCCCATCTCTTACACAGATGAATGCTGCGATCCAGTCCAATCCTGCCCACCACACACTTGGCCCTCATGTACACCAATGGGAACTGCAACCCAGCTGGAGTGACCAGTAACCCCCACCAGACCCTGGTTCCTGTGCATGACAGTATGCTGGTCCAATCAGTCCTGCATCCCATTCTGATTTTAAACACACTAATGGGTGTCACACCTTAGCTCATCCAAGTGTAAGCTATGCAGCCCACACTCATGCTGGAGTGTACCACCACCTATCTAGTCGATCCACCTCAGCCATGTTCTCCTGTTCACCAGTGGAAATTGCAGCATATCAGAGAGGTGCCCACAGCTTCCCTACCAGGCCCACTTCTGGCCCTGGATCTTTTCTTTCCAGGTAGTTCTGCACTCTAGCCTCACAGGACTTGTCTCCACTTCCAGCACATGCCCAGCTGATGCTACTGCAAAGCCCAACCAATCTGCACTTACACTGGCTCACATATGCAACAGTGGGTACAATTGGTTTGCCCAACCTTGCTTTCCCCCTAAACCAGATTACAGACAGACCAATGGGTTTTGTAACCATGCCCAACCTGGTATGCCCCTCGTACCAGTCATGCTCATCAGCAGGGGAGACCTTGCTGCCCCTCTACCTAGTTTGTAACCCACTGCCTTCTGCTCCCAAGTCTTTTTTTAAAAAAAAGATTTATTTTTATTATTTTTTTTATGGAAAGGCGGATATACAGAGAGGAGAGACAGAGAGGAAGATCTTCCATCCGATGATTCACTCCCCAAGTGAGCGCAACGGCCGATGCTATGCCGATCCAAAGCCAGGAGCCTCTTCCGGGTCTCCCACGCGGGTGCAGGTTCCCAAAGGCTTGGGCCGTCCTCGACTGCCTTCCCGGGCCACAGGCGGGGAGCTAGAAGGGAAGCAGGGCTGCCGGGATAGAACCGGTGCCCATATGGGATCCCGGGCATGCAAGGCGAGGACCTTAACCACTGCGCCACCGCGCCGGGCCCTGCTCCCAAGTCTTATGTGTGCTGGTAGATGTTGCAGCCCAGACTGATATGGCCCATCTCAACTTGGCATTTGCTGGTGGGTACTTCAGTGTGCCCCAACTCAGCCAGCCCCTAGTCCCAGCCCTAATGTGAACTGTCTGGTGTTGTAGCTCAACCTTGCCTGTCCTGCACCCTGTCCTGATTCTCACATCTCCCAGTGGGTATTATGAACTGGCCTAGCCTGACCTGCCCCCAGACCTGACCCACATATATGCCAATGGGTATAATCTGGCCTGGTCTGGGATGCTCTTAGTCTTGATATTTGCACTCACCTGAAGGTATTGTGTCCTGACAGAAGAGTTTCCCAAGCTCCTCTATCAGATATCCCAGTGGCAACACACACCAGTGGGTGCTTGGTCTTTCTCCTGTCCTTGTAGGTACAGCAGCCTTGTTGGACCAACCCATACCCATTCCAGCTCTTACTGTTGGATACTACAGCCCAGCCATGCCTGGTCCACCCCCAGACCCAGCTTTTGCACAGTTTAGTGAGTGCAGAGACCTAGCCCAGCCTGTCCTATACCCACTCTGGCTCTTGTGAACACCAGCAGGTGATAGAGCCTAGTCCAATCAGACATACCCCAGACCTTGTCCATACCTATGCCAAGGGATATTGCAGCTGTATCCAGCACAGAATGTTGCTCCCAATTTGGCTCTTGCATTCATTAGTAGAAACCACAATGCAGCAGGGGCACCCCCTTAGCTCTTCAAGCAGGCTTGCTCCCTGCCATAGATTTTGCTTGGCCAGTGGCTGCTTCAACCAAGCCAGGCCATTTCCCAGCTTGATCTGAGCCATCAGATGCTGCAGTCTGGCATGGCCTAACCCGCCCCCGGAACCAACTTTCACTGGTGGGTGCTGCAGCCTAGCCTGGCCCAGTCTGCCTCCATCCCAGGCTTTCATGCAGATGGGTAGATATGATAACCTAACATCTCTCAGCATGGCCTGCATTCTACTATAACTCCTGCACATGCCAATATACTAAGGTTTGGCCCAGCCTGCCCAGTCCATCTCCCTGCCCCCACCCACCTGCCCCAGAACCTGTTGGGGCTCAAGGTATGTGAATAGATGACTAAGTCAACAAGATGGCGACCAACGATCAAGGTCACTGAGTTACACGTGGCAAACAAGACGGCAACCACGGGAAGGGTCCTGAGTGTGAACCAGGGCAGGGATCAAGTTGTTTTAAAGAAAGGCTGATTGGCCAGGGCCGTTTCGCTCACCTGTCCCTGGCCTTCGGGAGGTGGCTTCCGCAGTGCTGATGACAATTCGCTCCTAGTTCTCCTCTCCTGGAATTCCTGGCCTGAGGCTGTTCACTGCTATATATAAGAGTGTGTATTCCCTAAATAAACGGGAACTACTTAGACGGAAACCCTGCCGCGTCTGTCTCTGGCGTGCCGGGAGGCTGGATGGCGGGCAGCAAGCTCACCCTCTCCGACAACGGGGGTACTAGAGAAATCTGTGGGAGGAGACCCGCAAGAACGAACCCACACAGACTTGCCAACGATGTAGTTACCTTTCCTGGCCTGATCAACTTACAGACAAATTTAATTCTTCATTATCAGACTTCATTGCTGCTTTTCCTCCTTTCTTATTGCGAGTCCCATAGGTTTCTTCCAAACTAGAAACAAGCTATATAAAAAAAAAAAAAAAAAGAAACGCAAATTAAACACTTTCGTATTTTAAATATAAAATACACTTCAGCACTGACTTGCTTCTATCTTTTTCATAAACATGAATTTTCCATCCTGTGCCTCATTACCAAGAAGCTATGACCCTAGTCTTTGGTCTGACTCCCTAACAACAAGGAGGTGCTTCATGATGCTACAATTTCAGCGTTGACAGGCACTAAAAAAAGAAAAGACTGTCTCCATACATATTTGACGTGTTAAGTAATGTTCTTGTCAAAGTCTATCTGCCTTCATTTTCTCCGCTTAAGAGACCAAGGAAAAATAGAAATATACATATTTGAAGGCAACATGTTTTTAAAAAGGAATTTTCTGAGCTAACCCCTCACATTGTAAATAAACTCAGGTTCTTACAGTTCAAAAAACTTGATTCTCTTTTTATGTATTTATTCTTCTTCATCATTCTCATCTTCTAATTGGTTCATTTACCATTCCATTCTGGATGACTGAGAAATAAAAGTGGAGTAAGGGCATTTTCTCAATACTCAGATCAAATGTTCCTGAAGTAGTCATAATTAACACAGCAGGCATGCCACCAAAAAAAGGTTGAGGTTCAGTAAGTTTTGCTCAAGAGGCTGTCTTCAGCCTGGCATCTTAGAAACTGAATTGCAAGAGAGTTCCCACCATTTCCCGAGAGAAATAAATAACCATCCCTGAGCTGTACGATGTGTGCTTATGTGAGCCTGGAACTTGGGTTTATACTAGGCAGAGGATACTTAAGATGATCAATCTCCAACAAGACCCAGAGCAATGAGTTGCTGATGAGTTTCCCTAGTAGACATTTGTCTTGTTATCACAATATACTGCTAGAGAGATTAGGCATGTGTGACTCCCAAAGGAACAGAGTCCTGCAACCTCGAAGCTGCTTCCTCCAGATTTCTCTTCTGGAAAATCACTAGGTCTGGTAGAGTGGCCCTAGGAATACCCTAACACAGGCATCTGCAAGTATCTCACCATCTCCAGGTGTTTAGCAGCTGCCTTGATCCTTTCATCCTTCATGACAAATTGTTTCGTCTTATTTAATGGAGCAGGCAAAGCGTACTGTGTGAGGGATTCAGTTGTCAGTGGTGGAGCTCTTAAGGCCATTGGTTCAATTTTATTATCTACTAATTTTTCACTGCATTTTTCTTTTGGTTGTGGAGATGAATTCAGTTGTCCCTTCTTATTAGCTGGTTCTGAAGCACTTGGCAGTGTGTTGCTGCTAGTAGCTAACTGCTTCGATGGTTTCATCTTATTTCTGACTTAGCTTCTACATTACAGATGGATGGAAAAATGGATTCTTCCCTGTGAATAAAACATTAGGATTTGGAGCATTTAATCTACAAAAATCAAGTTATTCTAATGGAACTCATATACTGCTCGAATGTTTTAGCCATTTGTTCAGAGTATATCATGTAACTTCTGGAAGCTACCATCATACTTTGCCTATTTTGAGTTATGATTATGGAAAACAAAGAAAAAGAGAATACAATTATTACAGTATCCAATTTATACCAGGACATTATTTAAACTTAAATATAAAAGCCAGCATAGTAAAAATTACGTCAGCTTTAAGCTATTTCCTTCATATATATCATCACTCCCATGATACATGTGAGCAAACTGTAGTGATTGCTCAATAGACACACACATTAAACTATAAATTTAAAAATACAGCACACGCCAACTTGGATACAAATTTTGCTTCTTTTATATGCCACTTTGATCTATAGCATTTGTAGAATTTTATTTAAGCAAGAAAAAAATCAATTAAGATGTCAGATTTTAAATGATGGAAGGACTATCAATTACTATGAAAATGATGAATCCTAAAACCAACTCTGGAGAAATTTCAAAATGAGGAAGTAAATATTTCCAATAAATAAAAAATTATGTATCAACCTCTTAACTGGATATTAATTTGTGTATGGGGAATAGGACTGGAAGAAGGCAGAGCCTACATTGAGAGAACACATTTATAAAGTCTACTAAGTTCTGCTCTTCCTTTACCTCATCACTGAGCTAATGTATGTTCTTAGTCTACATTATTTCTGTTCTTTTTTTAATATTTATTTTATTGGGGCTGGTGCAATAGCTCAACTGGCTATTTGTCAGTCATGCAGCATTAGCATCCCACATGGGCGCTGGTTCATGTTCTAGCTGCTCCACTTTCCAGCCTGCTCCCTTCTTGTGATCTCAGTAAGCAGTTGAGGATGGCCCAAATCCTTGAGACCCTGCACCGCACGGGAGACCTAGCAGAAGCTCCTGGCTTTGGATAGACTCAGCTTTGGATAGAATAAGGCAGAAAAAGATCGAGAGATAGCCCATCCACTAGCTCCTATCCACTCAAATGACTGCAACTTCTGGAACTAGACCAGGAGGAAGTGGAGCAGCCGGGGCTTAAACCAGTGCCCATATGAGATGCCAACATTTTCAGGCTGTAATTTAACTTGCTACAAAATGCTGGCCCAACATCATTGTTCCTACAGGAGCAACAACCTTAGTCCAAAATGTTAGCAGAATACTATGAAAGCAGCACCAAAGTTATGTAGGGCTATAAAGAAAAGATTAGGTTCTCATTCCTCTGCTTCTCTCTGCTAAAACTTATTAAGATTCAGGAATGCCTTATTCCTGAAGAGTTTAAAAGTATAAGGCTGGACATGGGAATTGTTAGATAAAATAGAAAAACTTGCAATAACATTGGTTCCTGGTTATCATAGCTGTAAATTGAATTATGCTCCCTAAAAAGACAGGCTCATGTCCCAACTCTCCAGCACCTGTGACTGCTTGACAATCTTTGCAGATACAATTAAGTTAAAATGAGATCAACTGGATTAGGTGCATCATAAACCCTATGATTGATGTCACCAGAAGGAGGTTGTGTAGCATCAAAGGTGGAGGTTCGAGTGAAGCAGCTATTTGCCACAGAACGCGATGCATTGCCAGCATCCACCAGATGTCTCTAAGAAGAGTATTCCTTTCTAGAATCTTCAGCATGGTCTTGCGGAGACGTAACTTCAGCCTATGAGAGAAGGCACTATAACTGTTTCAAGCAACTCTGAGGCAGTTTGTTAGCAGCTCTAGTGGGAGAATGGGGCTCAGACTACAAGAGCGAAAGCATCCAGCACACAAACATACCCAAATACTTAGCTGAACTTCTTGGGAGAGACAGAGATAAGAGACGATCTTTTGGGACTGGCATAATAGCTCAGTCTTCCACCTATAAATGCCAACATCCCATATGACTCTGGTTCGTGTCCTGCCTACTCCATTTGTTATCCTGCTCCCTGCTTGTGGCCTGGGAAAGCAGCGGAAGATGGCCCAAAGCCTTGGGACTCTGCACCCACATGGGAGTCCTGGAAGAAGCATCTGGTTCCTGGCTTCAGATTGGCTCAGATCTTGCTGTTACAGCTATTTGGGGACTGAACCAGTGGATGGAAGATCTTTCTTTCTATGTCTCTTCTTTTCTCTGCAAATCTGACTTTATCACAAACATAAATACCTTTTTTAATGAATCTTTTGATCATTTCCCAATATGTTACCAGAATAGTTAATGCCAAAGGGCATAAAAAGCTCACAAATACATACAATTTGACACCTGAAAAATACAACCATGAACAACACAACAACATGTACCACTTGCAGAATCATTAGAAAGACTTAAAGTACATAAAAAGAGAGAACCTTCTGTTTTCCTTAAAAGAAAAAGTGGATTTACTTATTTGATAGTCAGGCTTAGAGAGAGGGACAGAGAGTGAAATCTGTCATTTACTGGTTCACTCCACAAATGACACAATGGCAGGAACTGGGCCAGGAAGAAGCCAGGAGTCTGAAATTCTATCCGGCCAGGTACATGGACATCGTCTGCTGCCTTCCCAGGCGCGTTAGCAGGGTGCTGGATCTGAAGTGGAACAGGAGTCTTGAACTAATGCACCAATATGGTATATTGACAACACAAGCAGTAACATAATCCAGTGTGCCACAACCACAGTCCCCAGAACATGAATAAAATAAACCAGGTAGAACAGGCATATCCATTTGTTTATTTGCCTATTTGAAAGGCAGATATTCAGAGAAAGATTCTCCATCCACTGGTTCACTCCCCAGATGACCATAATGGCCAGGGATGGGTGAGGCAAAAGGCCAGGAACCAGGAGCTTTTTCCGGGTCTCCCACACATGTTCAGGGGCCAAAGTACCTGGGCCATCCTCCACTGCTGCCCAGGCACATTGGCAGTGAGTTGGATGGAAGTGGAGCAGCCGAGATTCACACTGGTGCCCATGTGGGATGCCAGTACTACAGGCAACAGCATAACTCACTACACCAAGGTGTAGAAATATTAGGAATAACACATATAATAGGTGAAATACAACAACTGGTTACATAATATGAGAAGTTGTATAAGAAATCATCAGAAAGCATAAGAGGTATTAAAAAAGTTGGGCCTGGCAGCGTGGCCTAGCGGCTAAAGTCCTCGCCTTGAACGCACTGGGATCCCATATGGGCGCCAGTTCTAATCCCGGCAGCTCCACTTCCCATCCAGCTCCCTGCTTGTGGCCTGGGAAAGCAGTCGAGGATGGCCCAAAGCTTTGGGACCCTGCACCCGTGTGGGAGACCCGGAAGAAGTTCCTGGTTCCTGGCTTCGGATAGGCATAGCATCAGTCATTGCGCTCACTTGGGGAGTGAATCATCGGATGGAAGATCTTCCTCTCTGTCTCTCCTCCTCTCTCTGTATATCTGACTTTCCAATAAATAAATAAATCTTTAAAAAAAGATATTAAAAAGATAAAGAGATAGGAAAAACAAAACAGTAAAAGATGTGTGTAAATGTCGAGAGCTAGCTAACAGGGGATCTAGAAAGAAAGAGAAATAAACTAGGGAAGAAGAAATAAATATTTAAGAAGATCATGAAGATAAATTTTTAAGAATTAAATGTGAATTCTATAGATTAAAAGCACTCACAAAATCCCCACCCAAAAAATACATTATGATACAGTGTAGGAACCTCAGAGAAATAGGTAAAAAGTTTCAGAAAGAAGGAGCATATAATCTACAAAATAGGGACAATTGAACCGACAAATATTTTAATAACATCTCACCCCAAAGTATTGTATACTTTGTGTAAACTTTAATCTTTGAGGGATGAAGAATTAAAAGCTGATGAAAAGATTGAGATCATTTATCATATATTCTTGAACATGAATAAGGTGAAATGAATATCAACAGGTTCAAACATGAAAACATGCTTGACTATAATTAGCAATCCTACATTACTAGCATCATCAGCTAGCATCTGCTAATGTTATAATAAGAATAATTCAATCTAAAACAGGATTTACTGTTGAGATTACCCAGTAACTTTTTTTTTTTCATTTGAAAGACAGAGACAGACAGAGATACACAGAGAATTTTATCCAGTGATTCACAACTGAATGCCTTCAACAATTGAGGCTGAGTCAAATCAGTGCTAGGGGCGGGCATAGAACTCCCGGATCACCTACCGGTGGCGAGGACTCAAGGACTTGGGCCATTACCAGTTGCCTCCCGGGATGTGCACGAGCAGAAAGTTGGAACTGGAGCAGAGATGGACCTACAAGTGGCATTTTAACTCCTGTGGCACACACCCACCCCCAGGAAAATTTAAAAGTTTGTTCATGTAAATCTTTTTTTTTCACTTATGCAAAAACACAAACTTCAACCTGAAATAATGTAACAGACTATTTTGGAGAATAAAATAAAAAACTGAATAAAAAAAAAAGCATAGACATTACAAATAAAATCATATTACGTTTTAAAAGCTATTTCTCAATTATTTTTGTTTTAGTTCCTTATATGGGTCATGAAAAGCAGATAAAAATTATTGATACAATTATAGATTTTTAAAAATGCAATGGAAATCAGATGTGAATTAGAGATATAAGGTTGCCAGTTCATGTCCTGGCTGCACTGTCGGCTTCCATTCGCCAAAGAGGATAAGTTTGGGGATTTTACTCTTCCGGGGTGATTCCTTTCAAATCCTTTAACCACATAGTGGTTACCCACATAGCACAGGGTAAGAGGCCTGGGAGTGGGATCATGAAAAGCGGGGACTCTCTTTACCACTGAGCAAGGGCCCCATAGACTTTTTTGGACGGTGACCAGTCCCCTCACCAAGCAAAGCAGCAGGTGCGCTGTCAGCAAGGGCGGCCCGCGCCTCAGCCGCCCAAGAGAACTGTTGGACCGCCTCCCGCCCCCAAGAACCGCCCAGGGCACGCGTCATAGACGCTGGTGCCAGGCACCCCAGAACGGACACCTTGACAACCAAAGGGTGCCTTGTCGTCGACGGTTCCCTATCCCTCCTTTTTCACTTTGTGTAGGAGCAGGATTCAAGGACGCCTCGGGAGCACAGATGTGTCAGATCTGGAGGGTGTAGAAGGCGAAAGTCTGGGACCCGGTGGTAGTCCGATCTGAGGACTGGACACAGGCACTTTAAGTTTTTCCTAAAGCAAGAACAGTTTTTGTAACTCTGAGGTCCCGCAGGATTGCATACAGCTCTGCACCTTTAAACCTAAAGCCAAATCAGAGTAACAAGTTCTGTGGGGAGTTGTGTCACCTAAGCCATCTCCTGTTACCAGGGTTTTTACGTATGTATGTATGTATGTTTTTAAAGGCAGATTTGTAGAGAGAAAAAGATACAAAAAGAAAGCTCTTCCACCCACTACTTCATCTCCAGCTACAAGTTTTTTTTTTTATCTATCTATCTATCTATCTATATTGGAAAGATACGTCAGATTTTCAGAGAGAAGGAAAGACAGAAAGATCTTCCATCCAGTGGTTCACTTCCCAAGCGGCCGCAACAGAGCTGAGCTGATCCAAAGCCAGGAACGTGCAGGGTCCCAAGGCTTTGGGCCGTCCTTGACTGCTTTCCCAAGCCACAGGCAGGGAGCTGGATGAGAAATGAGGCCTACCGGGATTAGAACTGGTGCCCACATGGAATCCCAGGCATGCAAAGCAAGGATTTTGGCGGTTGCGCTCACTTGGGGCGTGAATCAGCGGATGGAAAATCTTCCTCTCTGTCTCTCCTCCTCTCTGTATATCTGACTTTCCAATAAAAATAAAATAAATCTTTAAAAAAAGAGAGATAGTATAGTGATTAAATCATAAAGCCACTGGGTGGCCAACAGAACCAGGTAGCCATGAAATTCAAATTGCTGCCACTGAGGATCAGAGTGTGACACCAGGGCGTTTTCCTTTGTGAGGAAAATTCCAGCAGAAGTTCTAAAAGACAAACATATATGTAACAACAATAAATATATTCATGTCCCTTCACCCTTCTGTACCTTGTAATGTCTAAGGTATTTCCTTCCCTGATGCTTACGGTTTTTTTTTTCCCTGTCTCGTCACTGCCACAAAATTAATGTGTCACATTCCTGTAACTACAACCTTTTTCCAATAACCCTTAATTCTCACTCAAATGGGGTCACACAGCAGCAAGAGGGACAAGGAGGTCTTTATAAAACGCACAAAGATCCAGTATGTGTCTCATTTCTGGGTCACTGGAGACTGCAGACCCACGGCAGGACAATGAGCATCTGAGTACCAGACAGCGCTTCGTCTGAGTTGCTATGGAAGTCTCTCAGCCTTGGAGAGCTCAGGGAGTGGGGCCACGTGCCCTTACAGCACCTGGCACTCACTCTGAAAGCAGAAGAGGTGGGGCAGGCGTCTAGCATGCCCTTGGAATAATGCACAGCAGTAACACAGATCCTGGGCTGGAGTCCTGGCTGATTCTGCTTCCAGCTCCCTGACACTACGCATCGGGAGAGGCAGCAGGTGGTGGCCCCAGGACTTGAGTCCCTACTTCCCATGGGGGAGACCTGCTTTGGCCTGGCCCACAACCCGTTACCTGTTGGAGACTTTTGGAAATAAGTCAGCGTCTCTGTGCCAATTAATTTTTAAAAAAAGAAAAGAAAAAGAAAATAAACCTTTCGACATTGTCCATGCCCACATCGTTGGGAAACACCTCAATAACAGCATACTTATGACTGTTGATAAAGGACCACCCATTGTAGTACTAAAGGGAAAATTAGGGGGTGGGGAACTTGAGAAGGGGGAGAGGAAATCCCAGAACCTAAGGAATTGTATCATAAAACGATAAAAAGAAAAAAATGATAAAAATTGAAAATAAACTTAGAGACCTGTTGACCGTCATCTTCATAAGGATCCAAGAGTGGCTAGATAGAATTCAGGAGGCTCACGCTACTGTCATTCCTTTTAGAACACTGTGTCCCTCCATGTCATCTTCCGAAATTCTAAGATATACATGATTTCTATCCATAATGGTCTCATGTTTCTCTTCTTTTGTACTCACATGCCTGTTTCTGTGACATCTGTAAAGGATTAGAACTTTTATCCAATCCAGACTGAAATCTCAGGATGGTGGGCTACGTTGGGGTGGGAGTGAGGCTGAGCATACCACAGTCATTTTCCTGCCCTTCATTCTGCTATCTTTAAACCTACTTTCCTTTTCTTTATTTTTAATATTGTTTATACGGCTGAGAGGGATGCAAGCCCGTGTGGTCTCTGATTATAGCGGGGAGGTATGGAGAAAGGTGGAAGGCGGGTGGGATACATGTTCACAGGAGAGGAGGGAGAAAGGATTGTTCCTTACTGTCAAACTACATCAGATCTGGGGATAGTAGATGGGCCTTTCCTGATGCCCTAGAGACCCTGATGCGGGAAGAGTGTTCTGAAGGTGTTACTTGAGTGGTTTCGATAGTTCTGAGACATTGTTGGTTTCATTGTTCCAGGGTTGAGAATATATTCCCAAGATCTATTTGAGGCTGACCAAGTCTACCTCAGTACATCCACATACCCAGGAACAAGCTGCAAAGCTTGGCCAGGAGAATTGTTCAACCTGTTTTGCTTTCCATCCTCTGATGAGGCAGTTGATGTCCCCTGCTGGTCTGGATGAGCTGTCTGTTAGGTCTCTGTGTAACTAGACACATTGTCCACTGCACAGGCATCAGCAACTGAGGAGGTCCTGTTCTGATACATGTACTCCAAGATCAGACTATACATTCTTTGATTCTCCCTGTGTCCAGCATCTGAGTCCAACAGTCCAGTCTGGGAGTCCCTCAAAAAACATCACCTGGGGTGACCTCAGACTTGATTCTTGTATGTACCAGCCAGAACATGGTCAGGTATGGTCTGTTACCTGCACCAGTCAATGCACTTACCAGTGGATACAGCTTGGTTAATTCAACCTCAGTTCTATATTTCACATAAACTGACGAGTGCTACAACCCAGCCCACCCAGACCACCACTCACACAGTCCTTCTGCATACCAGCAGGTGCTATGGCCTAGTTGGAGTGACCCCCAATAACTCTCACCAGGCCTGCCCCTAGCCCCAGTTTTTGCACCTGCCAATCTCTGCTATGGCTTATACCCTATCAGGCTCTCATTCACACCCACAGATGAGAGCTTAGCTCACCCAGAAACAGCCTTCACATCCTCACATATGTAAACAACACTGTCCCTTTGCCCAGCCTGGTCTGCATCCTGCCTTGGTTCTTGTGCTCACCAGCCTTGATATAGCTTAGCAGAGGCATGCCCACAGATCCACTACCAGGTATGTTCTCAGCCCTGGATCTTGCGCCTGCCACAGAACCTGGCTCTTGTGCTGAACAGTCAGAGCTGCAACCTAACAGGGAGTTCCCCAAGCTCTCTTACGAGGTCCACTCCCAGCCTTGGATGTGTGCTGTTCATTGGGGCCGCTGTGCAGACTGTCATGGCTGGTCCCTAGTCCTGGCACTCTTTAGTGGTTCTGTGGCCTAGCCTACTGGTCTGCACCTATTCTAGCTCTCACTGATGGGTGCTTTAGCCTAGCCTAGCCTAGCCTAGCCTGGCTCTCAGGTGACACAACAGTTGCCAAGGACTAGCCTGGACTGTCCCATACCCATTCAGCTCTCATCAGTACCAATGGGTGCTGGAGCCCAAAGCAGTTTGGCCTGCCCCCAGACCAGCCCATATATTCAGATGAGTGCTACAGCCTTGTCCGGGGAAGGGGGAAGTGGTCTACCCTGAGCCCTAAGTCTTGCATTTACCAGTTGGAATTGTGGCCCAGCAGGGAGTCCCCAGAGTTTCCCTGCCAAACCCATTCCCAACCCAGGTCCTCTGTATGCTGGCAAGAGCTTCAATCCAGCCTGGCATGGCTTACCCACAGTCTCAGCTCTCATTGGTGGGTGTTGCAGCCTAGTCCAGCTGCACTCACATCCTGTCCTGGCTCTTGTGCATGCCAGCAGGGGTTATGGCCTGGCCTACCCCTGTCCCACACAAGCACTGATGATTGCTATAGTCTTGCCTCACCTTGCCTGCCCCAAGTCCCAGCTCCTGTTTTCCCCTTTAAGGATCTGCGAACTAGCAGGGAGTTCCCCAAATTCCCCTATTGACTGCTCTTAACCCCAGATCTCACACAAACCAGCAGGGGCAGTTACCTTGCTTAGCATTGTGTGCCCTCAGTCCCAGCTCTTGCATGTGCCAGCAGGTACTGTGGCCTTGTCAACTCTGGCCTCCTCCCAGCCCCAGCTCCCCTAAGTGTTAGATGAATTCTATGGTCCAACCTGGATCAACCTGTCATTGCCCTGAGTACTCTGTGTAAACTGGCAGGTACTGCAGTCCCAAAAGAGGAAAGCCCACATTCCCCCCCAGATCTGTTCCTCTTGCATTCTGGTGGGTGCTGCAGCCCAATCCAACCTGGCTTATTCCCTTCTCCATCACTCATAGGCAGGCCCAACCCCAGATTTTGCAAGTACCAGCAAATGGTGGTTGATGCTATTTAGCTCAGCTCAGGGCTCCCACATGTGTAGGTGAATGCCCTGATCTGACACAGATATGACCTCAGGTTTCTCCCATATAAACCACTCCATCTCAGGATCCTCAGCCACCTGCTAATGCAGTGGCCTGGTTCATGGAAGACCACAGAAATTGTTCCTTTCCTGTCAAACACGCCCTCACTATTCCCACTCCAATACATTCTGAGACCCCTTCAATGTGCAATCTTCATCCCCTCCCCTCTTATCTTTCAAAAAGAAAAGAAAAGGGTCCCTTGTGGTGACCTAGTGGCTAAAGACCTCATCTTGCATAAACCGGGATCCCATATGGGCAGCCAGTTTGTGTCTCAGCTGCTCCACTTCCAATCCAGCTTGTGCCCTGGGAAAGCAGCGGAGGTTGGTC